GCGGGGGCGGCGGCGTGGTGCCGGGCCGACAGGACAGCTTCCGTGGCGTCCTGCGCGCGGAGGACATCCGGCCCTTCCGCGTCACGAAGGACCAGCTGCAGCCACCACCGCCGTCGGAGGCGTTCTGCGCTGGCGATGTCGTGCAGGCGGAGGTGTTGTCGCAGTCGGAGGCGCGGCTGTACCAGCTCACCACGATATCCGAGGCCTGTGGCGTGGTGCAGAGCCGTGTGCAGTGCGGTGGGCGGGAGGTGGAGCTGCAGGTGGTGCCTGGAAGGCGAGACGTGATGCTTTGCCCGGTGGATGGGCGGCTGCATCCTCGCTGGTGCCCCTTGGTGCCCGCCCTGGAGCGCGTTTAACAGCCATGCACTCCCTTTTCTACGGTGAGCAACTGACTGCAGGATGACGCGGGGTGTAGGTCATCACCGACGACAGAGGGGGATTTCAGGCTAGTCCATTTAGTTTTTTCGGTACGGAGGTAGAGTGCGACATATGAGGGCACTCTTCTGTTGCGACTGCTGTCAACTGCTTTGCGGTGCTATCCACACTTCTTTTTGCTACCTTTCATTTTTGTTTCTACTTCCCTCCCCTTTGCCATACTCAAGTATTTTTATTACCTGTTATTGATTTCACACCCTGGCATACGGACCGTAATTTTTATTACTTACACACATATACAAGCCAATATCGCTTCACAATGTTCTGGTGCCTTTTATCCGCTGTTGGTGCCGCGACGCTGGGCGTTATCTGCGTTAAGGTGCTTTTGTTCGTCAGGCTGAACTTCTTGACCACGTGTGACATGAAGCGGAAATACGGCAAGGCCGGTGGCTGGGCGGTTGTGACGGGTGCGAGTGAGGGGATCGGGCATGCGATGGCACTTGATCTCGGCCGACGGGGCTTCAACGTGTGCGTGATCGCACGCACGAAGTCGAAGTTGGACGCTGTTGTTGAGGAGTTACGTGCCCTAGGCGTTGAGGGGTGCGCGATATCGTTTGACTTTGCTGAAGCGACGCCGTCGAACTGGACGGATCTGTTTGCGCGGCTAGACTCACTGGAGATCTCGGTGCTGGTGAATAACGTTGGCGTGAACTATGACTACGCGAACTATTTTGATGAGGTGACTCTAGAGACGGACCTTCGGCTGCTGAAGGTGAACTGTGAATCTACACTGCGTATGAGCAAGTACGTGGTGCCGAAGATGAAGGCGAAGAGATCCGGTGCCATTGTATGTCTGAGTTCGTTTTCCGCGACGACGCCCACACCGCTGCTGGCGACTTATGCTGGCACGAAGTCCTTTAATGGGAGTTTCGGCAGTGCGCTGTTGTATGAGCTCAAGCAGTACGGCATTGACGTGCTCACCGTCACGCCGAACTTGGTTGTGAGCCGCATGACTCAGGGTGTGAGCACGCGCAAGCCGCGTGAGTCCTTTCTGATGGTGAACGCTGACCAAATGGCACACCAGACACTGGACAAGCTAGGCAGTGTGCACCAAACAGCTGGGCACCGCAATCATGCTATTATCGAAGCCTTACTTAGCCAACTGCCGGTTGATTATGTCAGCAATAAGATTCTAAAGCTCCAGATCAGCACGAAAAGACGTGCTGAGAAGCGTATTCATCAAAAGTAAAGCTTTGGTATCTGGTGTTATCTAGTATTTTATTTATTTTATTTTAATGGTATAGTTAGAGATCCACAAGCATAAAGGGGTGGTTTTGGTACATTCAAAGCCCGAACGAAAAAAGTGTTTCTAACCTTAACAAACTTCCCCCTTCCTGATAATCGATTTTTAATTATATAGAATAGTGTGTTTATATATATATATATATATATATATATTGGTCAATGGTGATGATGTGATTTAGGTAATACCCCTGTGAGTACCGAAAATAGGTATGATTGATGTGGCTCCTTTTCTGATTTTGTTTCTCTTATTCAAGGGTTTCCAGTATGATTAGTTAGCTACATTGTCAAACCGGCAACTTTTTTAGGTGAACGCGTCCCTTCCTGTTCGCCGCTTCAGTCGTGTATCACACCGCGATCGTATTGAGCTGCCTGCAGTGCGGTAGACTCACGTGCACGGGAGGGTGTGGCCACACGGACATGGTTTTCGTGGGGAGCGGTGGGTCGGAGTACGTGTCCACTCCGCGCCAGCGATGGACGGAGGTGGGGCTGCGGGGGCAGCCATCCTTGCAACATTAGCGGGACTCTAGAGCTGTCGTTGATATGGTGCGTGCACTACATGGTATCTTGCAGAGCCGACCGCTTTTATTTCCTTTTAGAATTTTTTCGGTTTCATGATTTGTTGTTTAATGCGTTGCGTGCGTGTTACTTTTTTTCTGTGATGTGGCCTTCTGATGGCCATTGTTGATACCGGAGCGTGCGTATTTGCGCTCTTATGTGTTAGTTTCCATTGAGGATGCCCTGCTTAGGTGGGACCCACCTCATGCGGATCGACATGGTGCAGGGATCAGTGAAAGGTAGTTTTGTCTGTGATGTGCACCTGGGCGAATTGACAGTGTTGTAGTAAATGTAGGTAAGAAGTGCTACTGCTCCTCTCTATGCAACTAGTTCTCCGTCTTCCTTGTCCCACCATTTACTAAATAGGGAGCGCACTGCATAGTTTTCCTATTAAAGAAATATAATATGAACCATTCAATACATCTTAAAAAGAGTCAGGTATACACATAACATCATTCTTGGCACATTCTCAACCCCGGATAATTCTTTTTCTAAGCGTATCTATAGGGACAGAATGAGTACAGCTCAAGGGGTACCTGTAGTAGTGCGTTTCTCAGGAAATAATAGGCCTGCATCGCCGAATACGAATGTAGCGATGCCTATTGAAAATATTAATAACAATCTGTCTGCACATACCCAAAGTAATACAAGTTCCAAGTCCCAGCACGAACTTTTATTGGAGAAGCACACTTTACCGAGAGGCTTGCAGATTTTTATGACAGTATTGTTATTATTGAATCTTGTATTCTCTGTTGCTTTAATTTCTATATGTGCAGTCGAGGTTAGCGAATATAAAGCTAGGACGAGGAAGGATTCAGACCAATCGGATGCATTCAGATTCAACGTTCATTTGTACCTTTACTCCATTGCTGAGTTGTGTCTGAGTGTTGTCCTGGTTGGAGTTTTAATTTACTACACGATGTGCGAATCTCATTTTCTTGTTGAAACGGGGAGAAATCACATCTTTGCACACTGTCTGCGCCTAGTTTGCTTTCTTCTTTTTTTATTTTCCTTATATACGATTATTATACAATTTTCAAATTTTAGTGTGGTCAATGTCAAGTTCTTTTGGCCTCGCAATATATTTTCATGCACGCGAAGCATCTTAATTGGTATTTACTTTATAATTTCAGTCATGCTGTTGTGTATAGTGTAGTCGACACCCACTTAATAAGGGGATGTGTAAAGTTACTAATGTATTTTTCAGAATTTTTTTTGCTCCAGGAATATGTGCAGTTTTTGTAGTGTTGATACCATTGCTTAAATTCCTCTATGTCATCTTTATATATATATATATATATATATATATATATATATATATATATATATA